CTCAATAGATATCATTGTTACTGCACCTCACCAGTGGTACCATAATGTTAACTAGGTCTTCACATATCCAGGCCTGGACTGCTTTGGTTTCTGAGCATGATGCTGTGCACTGCTCAATCATTAGTGAACTCCTGACTTCTGAGCTTATGATAAACAGTGGAGAGTTTACTCCAGATTCCCATTGACTTAATTTATCTTTGATCCTTCATTTAGTCAGATGCTGCCTTCATGTTAAATGCAGTCACTCTTGCCTTTATTGAGATCGAGTTCTTTTGTCTATGTTTAACGAAGGCTGTAACGAGCTCTGGAGTCTAATGGAACCCACAATGAATTGAATTGGCAGAGGGCTGGCATCTACGATGCTGAGATTCAGAGGAGGCCAAACTGGATCATCTACTCAGCAATTCTGGCTGAAAATGGTCAAAAACACTTAGTCTTTTGCACTGACTCAGTGGGCTTCCTCACCATTGAGGATTAAGATATTTTCAGAGCGTCCGCCTCCACTGAATTTTTTAATTGTCCGTGATCATTCAAAGCTGAATGTGACAGCATGTGTAGGACCTGGATCTGGTCCCTTGGTTGTGGGGTTGTTTCATCCTGTCTACTGTATGCTGCTTCAGTTACTTGGCATGCATGGAGTCTGACATTGTAGCGTCACCAAATGTTCCCCTCCTACAGTCTTTTATTGTACCAAGGTTGGTGTCCTGGCTAGATGGTAATATTCTGAGGCATATATTAGATGGTAAGTTTACAGCATAGAAGTGGGCCATTTAACCATACTAGTATATGGTGGTTTTTGAATTCCATACTAACTTTTTACTTTTCATCAAATCTTTCTTGTGTCTTTCTATTGTATTGCTTTCCTCCTTGTGCTCATCTAGCTGCTGCTTAAATGTATTTATGCCATTCACCTCAATAGCAAAGTCCAAGCTCTGAAGATGAAGCTTAAAAGCAGAAAGGAATGAAATGTAGGAGCAGTATATGGATGTAAAGAACATAAGACAATAAGATATGGGAGTAGAATTCGGCCATTCAGCCCACTGAGTCTCTGCCATTCGATCATGGCTGATTTGTTTCTCAGCCCTATTCTCCTGCCTTTTTCCCTGCAACCCTTAATCCCCTTGCTAATCAAGACTAAAGAATTAGTTGAAAAGAGAAATAATGGATATAATAAATGGTGTAGATGACAGCAATTAAAAAGCCAAATCCTTCTAAATATTTTTGCAATGTTAGAGTACGAAAAGAGTAGTTTCAGAAATTTTAAAAAGGGGTGAAATAACATTACTAGTAAAGTACAATATAGACACTTTTCGTGGTCCTCACTAAAGAGATAGGATATTCACATCAAATTCCTTAGCAGATGATGTCCCGGAACAGTTCTAACTCATTCCTTAGTGCATTAATTTAGAAATCCTCACTCTCAACTACAACACCTTTAAGATTTCTCCTCTTCCTCCTTTGCAGCCTTGGATCTTGTGAAAGGTTACAAACTTTCAGCTCCAGTCGATGTTGCTGCCTGTTATCAACTTCCAGTTCTTATACTCCGTGCTATCCCCAAAACTGTTGGTCATGCGACTACTTTCTCTCCCTTTCCAAGTTTCTTTAAACCCTTTACTTACGTCACCAACCATCTCCCCGCATTCCCATGCACAATTTCCCCACTCAAAATCTAAAGTAATTTGCAAACATCTCTTTTTAAGGCACTAAATATACAAGCAGCTTCCAGAATGAAAAACAACCGTAGCAATAATATTTTAATGAAAATGTACAAAAACATAAAAATGGTTCTACCAGCATCACCTCTTCAAACATAATGTGATGCAACTCACCAGAAGAAAAAATGCATAGAAGAAATACAAAACAGTTCTGAATTTTACAACTGGAAACATTGTACAGTAAGACTTAAGCATTCTATTTTAAAAAAAAATCAATCAAGCGTGTTCTTTTAATTTGTCCAAGTTGTGTGGCCAGAATCAGCAGCCTTCTCAGGTGGCATTTTGGTTAATGCTAGCTGCCTTTCCTCTGAATTAGAAGGTTGTAAGTTCAAGCACTAGTCCAGAGATTTGAACAAAAATCTCGGTTTGTGCTGTGTTGTGGTTGACAGGATTTATAAACCTAAATCCCATGCCATTATTTGAACAGCAGTAGGAATATTTTCTAATGCCCTGGCTGGCTAATATTAATCCACTCAACCAAACTTAAAATGTATTGTCTGACCATTAACCCTGTGTCTTATGAGATTTTGCTGTGTGCAAATTAGCAGTCGTGTTCCCTACAATCCAGCAGTTTTTTGATTGACTGGGAAATGCTACGGAATATCCTGAGGTTGCAAAAAGCACCAGATAAATCCAAGTCTGTCTTCTAATTGTCTATGTCCTTTGAAATTTTGTTGAATTCTAGTGGTTTCTGGTACAATACAGCCTACAGTTGCTAAATGCCTCCCTCCACCTAGCCAAAATGGCTATTCTGCAAGTGGTGGTCCCTGTGTGGCTTAAATAGTTGCAAACCTTTGTTTACTCTGAGCATATTTTAAATTGTTTATGAACAGAAAATACTTCTGCTTCAACAATGAATACTGGAAATATTGGCAATGGTGACTGGGAGTCATTACTGAGATTGTTGTATTTATTATCAATAAGACAAGACAGAATTCTGGTAAAGGGTCTCACGCTAGAAAGATTTGGATTTAAATTAATGATGCTTATCACTCTTGCATCCAATAACCTACGTGGGCTCCCAGTCCCTAGTGCAGTGCCCTCAATTTTAAAATACTAATTCTTATTTTTAAATCTAGCAATGGCTTTGCCGTTCCCACCACCTTCAACCTGACAATTTCTGCTCTGCTTCAAATCTGGCTTCTTGCACATCCTGATTTTCTTCAGTCTCCCATAGGTGGCTTCAGCTACTTAGATCCAAAGTGCAAATTCCCTCCTAATCCTTTGTCTTGACATTGCTAAAACCAACCTCTTAGATCAAACTATGTTAAAGGTGCTGTATAAATGCTAATTGTTGGTAACATGGTCCTGGGGATGAGGGGGCTACTGAGTTCCTTAGTACTGTACATAGAAATCTGTTTTACTGCCTGTCGCATATCTGAGATGTAACACAGATGAGTCACTGGCCTGTAAGGCAGAGGCAGCAGGCACATGGGAACACCATCTCTTTCAAGCTCCCCTCCAAACTGCACACCATTCTGACTTGGAATTATATTACCATCCTTCACTGTCATTGGGTCCAAATCCTCCCTAACAACACTATGGATCTACCAATACTACATGGGCTGCAGTGGCTCAAGACATTTTTAAAATTTATTCATGGGATGTGGGCATCATTGGCTCGCCTGCATTTACTGCCCATCTGGAATTGGCTAGAGGGCGGTTAAGAGTCAATTACATTGCTGTGGGTCTGGAGTCACATGTAGGCCAAACCAGGTAAGGATGGCAGTTTCTTCCTCTTAAGGACATTAGTGAATCAGACATTATTTTCTGACAATCATGGATTTATGGTCATCATTAAGCTCGTAATTCCATATTATTGAATTCAAATTCCAACATGAGGAGGGATGAGTAACAGATACTGGCTTAGCCACCAATTGCCCTTGCCTTTTTTTTTTAAAAAGTAATAGGACATCTAACAGCAGCAACCTGATTCTACTCCCTTCAACTCACTAAAAAGTCCACAACATTGCTGTAAGTCAGAGTTGATAGCAATAAGGTGATGTAAATTGGGCATCTGGGCTCCTGGTGAGTGATGAGACAACAGTGAATTAAAATTAGGGGAATTCAATGTTAAATAATGTGTATAAAGGGATTGAGAGAGAAGATAAAAATGAAAAGTGAACAAAATTAAAATTGAACATTTGAACTTTTGTTTCTTCAGGTTTTTTAAACTTTGATTCATTAGCAATAATTATTCATACCAGAATTTACATTATGATAATTAACAGCTTGCATGTTGTTTTAAAAGCTGCTAATTACTAGCTTTAACATCTGCCCAAGGTTTTGTTGGTATTCACCATGTAAATACATCAATGTTGTACCATTCACTTCAACAGTAAGGCAGACAGCAAAATGACATTTATGCAAAAGTAATGTAGAGGAGCATAACTCTAGTCAGCTTTGTATGTTATCATTTAATCCACAAGTATTCCTTTTTTGAAGTTGCTGTACTGTTTATATGGAAGTTAAAGGAACCAATTACTTATTTGTTATTTTGACACTGACTAATATTGGACCAGAATTCAATGTACAGCGCACAGAGCAGCGACTGCATGGTGGAATGACAACCATATTGTATATGGAGTTGGATTTGTCATGAAGGGTTCTGGCTGGATGTATTAATGAGCTCCAGATGGCAGGGATCAAAATCGGTAACACAAAACTAGCTGCAGTACACAAAAAAATTTAAATGCCAGCCCTATTAGATCCAGATCTCACTGTAGCAGCACACTGATTTAGCTGATGTACAGTCTGAGGATCTGTTCTTTATTCAGTCTCCTACTGTTAGCATCACTGTTCAATATTGAGTTTTCAAAAACAAATTGATAAGAACCCCTAAAGAGCTTTATTATTCTTCACCTTTTAGTAAGGAGGCTCCCTGGGGCTGAAGACTACACTGTAATAAGATAATAGGCATTTTTAAAACAAAAAGTTAATTAAAATCATCTATAAAAGCTATCATACCAACATTGATTTTTTTTTGCAATTTCTCAAGAAGAAAAGTGAATCTTATTCCTAAAATTGATCTTTTTCTTCCTCTTCTATCCCCTCCTCTCATTGAGTTACTCAGGCACTAACAGCTACCCTTTTTTTGTTCATTACCTCACTGTTTTTGAGATTTACACTCATAGTCAATAGCAATTTGACTGGAACTGGTATCTAGTCCAGCCTGCATCCAGAAGAGTCAGAATTTTGTCTTGAGCTATATATAACACTGATTCCAGTACTTAGTCATTTCCTAAGTCTGTTTTGGTAAACATCTATTGTAACTGGGACACCATCAATCGCAGGTATGCAATGTCAGGCACTCACCCTTAGGAGCAGAATGAGCAGTGCTTCTGTGATAAGTTAACCTCCTTAGTTGGTTTACAATGTGTCTTGAGTGATGCTACAAAAGCTTGTGAATGAATTACAACCCATTTTACACTCTGCTCAGTTTGCAGTTGCCTATCATGTTCCATGGCCCAGATAAATTTAATCCTGATGAGACCGCCAGACCCCTCATACATGGTGTAAAATGTGGTGGTGCAAACACCCTCCCTAAGACTCCCATCTACTGTATCCACACCTCCCCAAGCCTCGTTTTTGTTTTGTAGTAAAGAGACATACAACTCTCACTGGTGTTCTTCTGCACTCTATGGCAAATCCATTTATTTTCCTCTCAGGAAAGGAAAACTAACCAATGTGTTACAAACAAAGAGAAAAAAAATGCAGACATCAGCTTCTCAAATTTGCTCCTTCCCTAGCTGAGATCTTACATCTTCTGAGGGGTGTTGGGATATAAACATTCTAATTCTGCTTTATTGAGTTTCTCAACATTATTGCACCCAAGACCCTCTGTCCCAAGTTACAAAGAAATTCACTGACCCCTGTAGTCACTGACTGTATGAAAATTAGTTATGCACCTAACGAAAAAAGTCTTTGCCTGCAACTTGAATATTATTGTCTTTCCTCCAGACATACCTTGTATCATTTTCCTTCCAAACTGTAAAGTTCTTTGTGCCTTAGGCAATACTTTTTAAAAACATGCATACTGTATCAATATGGTACTGGGCATAATTCTAACATTCCATGGTGCAGCAGACAAGCTAATAGGAGAGAGTGATAAGAGACCAGATAAAACCTGAAGTTTTAAGAAACTAGGGATACCGAATTTCTGACAAATGATATGTGATGCTTTAATTGTGTCATTGGACAAATGAGATGAAGCTTTAAGTCTTGCTTTATCTGACAATGAATCTTAGTGAAATTTGTATCCTTGCTGTTCTCCTGCAATTACCCTGCAAACACCTCAACTGCATGCCAGCTTGTCCTTTTTCTTTCCATTGCCACACTTCAGCCAAAATCTGGGCAAATACATAGACCATGGCTCTGATTCATTTCTATTGAACTGCATTCCCTAACTAAGGGATAAGGGAGTATATCTCAGTTGCCACTTGTCTTGTGTTTTATATTAAAAAATATCATTTGGGGAAGAGGGCATCGTTAGCAGGGCTAGCTTGCAGTGGTGATGAACTTCTTAAACCACTGCAGTCCCTGTGTTGTACATAGGCTCACACACCATTTGGCAGGGAGGTCCAAACTTTTGATCTGGCAACAGTGAAGGTATAGCCACAGGTTTCCAAGTCAGGATGGTGAGTGGAAGGGAACTGTAGGTGGCATTCTCCCGTATCTCCTGCTATTGTCCTTGATGGAGGTGGGCGAGAGTTTGGAAGGTGCTAGGGAGCCTTGGTTAATTTCTGTAGTGCATCCTATAGATGGTAGATATTGCTGTTATTGAGCATTAAGTGGTGAAAAAGGGGATGCTTCTGGATATGGTGTGTGTCAGGGGGGAATGTGATGAGGGCAATTCATCACAATGTCAAGGGACAGTAATTAAATTCTCACTGGAGATGGCCATTACCTGGCATTTTGTGAGATGTGAATATTACTTGCCACTTATTGTCCATGTTTTGCTGGCTTTGTACAAATTCCAAATGGTACTGAACATTGCACAATCAGCAAACATCCTCACTCCTGACTTTATGATGGCGGGAAGTTCATTGATATAGCAGATATCCAGAAGCTGAGATGACTGACTGCCAACAACCACAACCATCTTCCTTTGTTCAAGGTGACTCTAACCAGAGGGGTTTTTCACCTGATTTCCACTGACTCCAGCTTTGCTAGGGCATCCTCATCCTCACATTGTAAAATGCAGCCTTGGCATCAAAAGCTACCACTCTCACCTCAAATCCATGTTTTTCATGCATTTCTCCAGTTATTTTTAATCGCACCTATTGAAGGCAGGGAGAGGGATCAGAACCCTAGCTCTCTATTTTACATCAATTTATAGCTCAAAATTAAAGAGATTTCTTGATGAAACTAGGCTTCTCTGGTGAAAACACAAAGCCTGGAGTTCGCTTACTGATTTTTAACTTTGGTTCTAAATTTTGCTAAAACTACTCTTTTCACCTAGGTTACAATAAACTTTAAAACAGTTCAAATTAAGGCATTGTTGGTGCAAGAAGAGGGTGGAGGGGGTCAAAGAATCTGATGAACCAGATACAGTCCTCTTGTACAATATCCAACCTTTTCTAATAAATACTGTTTAGCCATGAATACTAAAATGTGATGCCACTACAAAGGAACAAAATTAACTGTTTGGAAATCTAAGTTAGCTTCTTCCTCAGCTTAACTTGTTACTGAATAAAACCTTGATTCTAGTTTGCCTTACTGTACTTTGTCTCATTTAAAAACTGGTTTAAACCAAATGGCAAGAGATAAAACAAATTAGAATACTGCAAAAATTTTTTTTGTAATGTGAATTTTAGCCAAGAGATAAGATAAAATCTCCCTGCTTCTCAGTTTTCAGCTCCCCTCTGAGATGTGGCCTGTTCTAGTAGGAGCCTGAGCTGCTCGGCCTGCTGGGATAGTTCTGCCACCTGATCCTTCATCTCTTGTAAGGTCTTGGTGTTTGGCTGCATTACTGCATTCTTGGTTGCCATGGCGACCTTTTTCATCCTCCCACAGAACTGATTGCTTCTACTCAGCATCTCTTTATGAATGTTCTTCTGTCCGGTCTCACGGCACAGCAGGTCCACCAGCTTTTGGCCAATCATTATCACTGCTTTGCTGTTTTTGATTAAAACCTCCAAGGATTGGTTTTCATTGACATTGTCAGTGAATGCAATGATTGCCTTTTGCAGGGCGTTAAAGAACATTATGCATTGGTCAGAGCCAGAGATAAGGGACTGGGTCTCCTTCAGCCCTTTAACACTGCTATCTCCCAGTTTTCGAATCTTTTCTTCTGTCATCTGCACAAGAACAAAACCACGTTAAGGAAGTCTCAGATTGATCTGTAGCGAACAAAGTAGTTTTCAAAATTGCACTGTGTTTGAAATTAGACAGTTAATTTTAGCACATCAAGCTTCCAAAAACAACAAAAAGAAAGATTTGCCTTCACATTACGCTTTTCACAATCAGACAACTTGAAGTCTTTACAACCAATGAAATACTTTTTCAAATGTAGTCGCACTGTCTAGAAAGTCTCTATGTAAAATTGTACGGGGCGACAGACATCACAAATTGTGAACAATTTAATATGACTAGAAATGAATTCTTGAATTTTTATGTGGGACCATGTAAAACTTTGATAGAACCATGGTTAGACCACACCTGGAAGATCGTGCACAATTCTGATCTCCATTTTAAAAAGGGCAAACAGGCACTGGAGAAGCTGCAAGAAAATTTATTAGAATGAACCTGGAGTTGACAGCTTATACCCAAAGTAAAATTGAAAGGGGAAGGGTGATAGAGGAGAAGAACCCAGTACTCCCCCACTGTAAAAGGAATTAACAAAGGAGAGCAGACCCTGAGAATGGTCCAACCATAGCTGATGATACACTATTAAAGCTCAAACCTGTTAACCCTCTAGCATGAAACTAAAATCAGAGATGTAGTGGTCAGCAAAAGTTACCTCAGTACAACGGGATCTTGATCAGATGGGTCAATGGGTCAATGTGCCGGGGAGTGGCAATGGAGTTTAATTTAGATAAATAGGAGGTGCTGCATTTTGGAAAGGCAAATCAGGGCAGGACTTATACACTTAATAGTAAGGCCCTGGGGAACGTTGTTAAACAAACAGACCATGCAGTGCAGGTTCATTGTTCCTTGAAAGTGTAGTCACACGTAGATAGGATAGTGAAAAAGGCATTTGGTACGCTTGCCTTTATCGGACAGTGCATTCAGTATAGGAATTGGGAGATCATGTTGCGGCTGTACAGGACATTCGCTTGGCCACTTTCGAAGTATTGCATGCAATTCTGGTCTCCCTCCTATAGGAAGGATATTGTGAAACTAGAAAGGGTTAAGAAAAGATTTACGACAAGGTTGCCAGGATTGGAGGGTGTGAGCTATAGGAAAAGGCTAAATAGGCTGGGGCTATCTGCACTGGAGCGAAGGCCGAGGGTTGACCTTAGAAGTTTATAAAATCATGAGGGACATGGATAGGGTAAATAGGCAAGGTCTATTCCTCAGGGTGGAGTAGTCCAAAACTAGAGGGCATAGGTTTAAGGTGAGAGGCAAAAGATATAAAAGGGACCTAAGGTGAAACTATTTCATGTAGAGGGTGGTGTGTGTATGGAATGGCCTGCTAGAGGAAGTGGTGGAGGATCATACAATTATAACATTTAAAAGGCATCTGTATGGGTATATGAATAGGAGGGGTTTAAAGGGATATGGGTTAAATGCTGGCAAATGGGACTGGATTTATGGACGAGTTGGACCGAAGGGTCTGTTTCCGTGCTGTATATCTCCATGACTCTAAAAGGAAAATAAAGTCCCACTACCTCATGAAATATTTTTAATGAGAGCACCTTTGATGTATTTCTTGCTGAAAACTATTCAAAATCAATGATATAGTGCAAATTTAACTTAAGCAAAAAACGTACTTTTATATAATCCCAGTAACAGCAAAGCAGGTACCTTTCGTTCTAAAAGGAGCTTTTTCTGCTTGAAGCTCTCTCTCTCTCGTTGTTTGACGCTTTCCTTTTCTTGCTCTTGCCTTTCAAATTCCTCTTTCCTCTGCAGAGAAACACCAGTGAGATTATCAGGAAAATGTTACTCAAGACCCCAGAAGTGGTCCACTCAGTAAGGCCTTACACCTGCCTGCATCAACCTGAAGCCTGCTGAGGAGCACCTGTCATTAGGAAAGTCTCGCTGCAAAGGTACAGGCATAAGCCACATTGATATTTAAGGTTGCTGGAAAAGCTCAGCAGGTCTGGCAGCATCTGTGAAGGCGAGAAGAGAGTTAACGTTTCGGGTCCGGTGACCCTTCCTCAGAACACTGTTTTCTCCTTCACAGATGCTGCCAGACCTACTGAGCTTTTCCAGCAACTTTTTTTGTTCCTGATTCACAGCATCCGCAGTTCTTTCGGTTTTCATTTGATATTTAAGGTGCCTAAGTGGTCAGCTGTGTTGTAGAAGCCATTAGGATCACTACTTCCTGAAGGTGCACCAGTCTCTTTGCAGCTTCTTAGATAGCACCTTCCAAACAAGCAACCTCTTTTGCCTGGAAGGACAAGGTCAGCAGAATCACCATTTGCAAGTTCCCCTCCAAGCCACACAGCATCCTAACTTAGCAATATATTGCTATCTCTTAGCTGAGTCAAAGTCCTGGAGTCCCCTCCCATACAGCATTGTGGGTGTACTCACAGCACAAGAATGACAGGCGATTCACCAAAACCCCTTCAAGGGCACAAGGATAGGCAACAATTGCAGCAGAGCCCGCATCCTGAGAATGGATCTTGTATAAAAGGAATTATGCTTCCATTACCCATCTCCACCAAAAAATAATTCATACTTCCATTCTAATTAGGGCCTCTTGTCATTAGTGCTTTTGATTCTCTGGCCTAAAATCTACAATATCACTTGGATTATTTCTCACAAATGTGACAACTCAAGTGTCTATTCACAACACAAATTGCATGTGAATATGGTAACTGCGAGTGGATTGTACTTAGAATGGGCTATAATCCCTACAGCAGTGATTGCATCCAGTGAAAAACAGGTACCATCTCCACAAAGATAGACTCACTGCAATCTCTGGATCCGTCGGGTCAGTCCTCTTTGTGTTCGGATTTCCTACTACTTTGAATTTCAAGATCTGTAAGTTTCATAAGACTGGTTCCTGACAAATTGTTAATCAAAGTACTAATTGATTGATTGTTGATATCCAAGTAGGACAGTCCTAACCAGCACCAGACTGTCCAGTGTCCAAATCAATTTTGCACTAGTGCACTGTGCTCCTTTGGATAGCACAGATACTGTCTTTTGAATGTCAGAACTAAGACTTCCTGGGGCTGCATTAGTCTCTAAAATTAGCTCCAAGAGTGTGAATACACACTGAATGTGCCGAGGGGTGTGTCACTATTTAAAGGTCACTGGGAGTGTGTCATTATTTAATGGGCCCACTGGAGTGTGTCAAGACTTAAAGGATCCACTGGGAGTGTGATAATAACTAGAAGAGAATCAGGGAATGTGTCAAGACTTAAAGAAGGAAAGATGAAATTGCATTTGTTTAGCTCTTTCACATTCCAATGTGCTCTGCAGCCACTAGATCACTTATGAAGGGGGAACAAATACATACAGTTTCTATTAATCTCCTGATCAATGCTTGATATGATTGGGAGGCATTCAGAACTTGCAATATAACCTGCAATGCAAAAGTAATGACCTTCTGTATAGCAGTATCTAAACAAGATCCTTGCAATGTGTCAGTATATAACAGAGTGGTACAGTTGTAGTGTCCCTACCTCTGAGCCAGGAGGCTCCAGTAACATGTAGTATAACCTCTGAACAGATTGATTCAAAATATCTATACCGAAGATGCTTTACTGCCAATGAAGTACCTCTTGAAGCACAGTCACTTCCGTGGGAAACAAGGAAATCTCAAGAGTGTATCATTTAACCGCTAAGATTGGTTGCAGCACATCTGTACTAGCCACACTTCCAACACCTGTAACGGTACTGTCTATCACATCAAATCCTGCAACTAAAGATTATTAAAATACTGCAGAGGTGTGGAAAAGCTCAAGTAGATTTATGGGAGTTTTCTAGAGCAGAGTCACATATCAGCCCCAGTAGAAATAACCCAAATAGTAACTAAAATGCTTCGCTTACAAGATTACACTTTACAGTATCTTATTTCTGACATTGCAAACGTGTTAGTCAGAAACTATGCTATACAATTTCATGCACCAGAAATTTGCAAACGTAGTCTGTAATGTCAAAGATATTCAGTCTGCCTTGCATGTAGTAAGACATCATGACATCCTGAAATCTCTGCTTGTGGTCACTGCCAGATTGATTGCAGCTCACAGCAACTGGAGATAGAAGCAATCTTCAGAGGATCAGTAGAGAAAGACATGGCTCAGAAGATGTCCAGTGATAGGGTGGGAGAGGAGCTGACAGGGGATCAGGAGGGAGGGCAGTGAAGGAAAGAAACCAGTAGGGGCTTTGGAGTGGACAGTGAGGTCTGAGGAGAGAGGGTGAGGACTTGTGAAAGGAAGCAGCAAAAAGACTCTGGAGGGGGCTGGTGAATGTAAACTAGCAAGGTACATACAAATGGACTGTAAAAGCTTCAAAAGGTTAGCAGAGACAAATGTGTGTCCATTATAGACAGAGACATGTGAATCTATCATGGGAAGTGGCTGAGAAGCTAAATAATTACTGTGTGTCTGACTCCAGAGAGGAAGTTACAAGAAATCTCAGTAACAATACATATCCAAGGGATGAGTGAGAGTAAAGAATTGAAATAAATTATTAGTAAAGAAGCATTATCAAATAAATTATTTGTACTGCAAGTTAACAAATCCCCGGTACATAGTTATCTACTTCCCAGGGTGTTGAAAGGGGTTCCTATAGAGATAGTGTACTCATTGGCAATTTCTTTTTCAAAATTCTGCAAATTAGAAGAATGTAAATCGAACGCCACTGTTTAAGAAAGGAGAGAGTGGGGTAAGTGGCAAAGTACAGACCTGTTAGCTTTACATCAATAATAGGGAAAATGCCAGAATCAAAGGATTTGATAACTGGACACTTGGAAAGTAATAATTTAATTCTAGTTAACATGGATTTATGAAGGGAAATCATGTTTAAGAAACCTGTTAAGAGTCTTCTTTTGCAGATGTAACTCAGAATTGATAAGATGACAAGTAGATGTGGTGTATTTTGGCTGCATAACTACACAGATTAATGAACAAAATTAAAGCGCTTGAGATTGGGGGTAACATACCGTCATAAAATGTGGGCTGGTTATAATAAAGAAAACAAAGTATGAATAAATGAGCCATTCTTATGTTAGCAATGTGATTAATCGGCAAGGATCAGTGCTTGGGCCCCAGGCGTGGACTATGAAAATGAGCTGGCCAACTAATATTTACAAAACTCTGAGATACAACATTGTGTAAAATTAAAAACTGTGACAATGCAATGGAGCTTCATAGTTGAATAAACAAGCTGAGAGACTGGGCAAGAACATGACAGATGGAATATAATATTAATAAGTATGAGATTATGTACTTTGGTACAAGGTATGGATGTGTGCTGTATTTGTTAAATAGTGGAAGATTGGAAAACGGTGTTGTTAGTACAGATTGACAGATTTCTGGACACTAATGAAATCAAAGGATAAGAGGATAGTGCAGGAAATGGCTTTGAGGTAGAAGATGAGTCATGATCTAGAATGGCAAAGTAGGCTTGAGGGGCTGAATGGTGGACTTCTGCTTTAATGTTCCATAGGCTCTGCAGAAAGCAAGTGAAGCAGGCAGCAGAGAAATGAAAGACGCAGACAGAACATTGTGGAGAAAGACAGTGAGTGACAATGAAGGCACAGACCAGTACTAGCATAGTCTGATGGCAGTTCAGTAACGGCAGTGGGAGAAACTGCCAGTGGACTTAGTGGGTGCAGAGCGTGTGGGCGCAGAGTGTGTGGGCAGCTGTTCGTGGTGCTTCAGAGTTCAGGATTTGCAGTTGAAAACAGGATACTGCAGGGGCGTGGGTGGGGAATTATCAAAGGGTGACTCTGATAGAGCGTGGAGGTTCTGTCAACAGTGGTGCACACTATCTGGCCTCTACTAACATGATATTCGCAGCACAAAAATGACATTTGCTCTGAGACTGTGGTACTTCCTGTTCGTTTACTAACCTGTAACTGGACATAATCACAGTCTTCTATGTGAGTTTGTCTGGCGATTAACAGGTTGCTTGGTTTTGAATTATTATCTTTCCTTGGAGGTGTTGGCAGTGGAGCTTTTTGTTTAATAAAGAACCCGTTGCTCTTCCTCTGCAGACGAGGCTGGTTGTCATTGGTGGACTGTGGTTTGCCCGGTGTTGAAGGGGATTGCTGCTGACACTGTCCTTCATGCCTCTCTGCCACCTGGTTGAAGAGAAGCTTGCCGTTGGCAATTATAATCGACGCAAGTCGCTTCACATCATCCGGGATGGTCCGGGTCACCATGATGAAGCGGTCAAGATCGTCAGGGCTGGACTGAGGGCTGCTCACCACCAGGACATCGAGGGACCAGTCGGAGGCGCCCAGTGCCTGGCAGGTCTCCACCATGATCTGGTAGGAATCCTCCAGGATCAGGAGCTGCTTGTACAGCCGGTTCTGGAGATTGCCATCCGTCAGGCGTGTGGCATTGACTTTCACTCCCCTCACGAAGTCCATGAAGGTGCCCAGCGACTTCATCACCTCGTCCGCTGCCGAGTGGATCTGGCTGAGGTTCTCCTCCAGGAAGGACAGCTGCCTCCACTGGCTGCTGACGAACACCATAACCCTGCCCACCGAGTCGACGACCTGCTGCTGCAGCTGCACCAACCTGCCGACGGCCATCTCCACATCCAGGGTGATCTCCCAGGCGGTGTCGGGCACCGCGGGGCCTGGGTCCTCCTCCCGGGAGGCCTGCACATCCCTGGACACCTGCGGGGGGACATCATAGACGGGCGCCGCAGGGTTCCTGGCAGCGGGTGCGTCTCGAGGGCCAATCCTGGGCAAATCGTAAATGTTGTGGGGCACAGCGTCCGGGCGCGGCTTCACGGCGCTGACCGGAACGTCGTAGACTTCTGGAAACTTCGAGAGGTGGCGGTTGGACGCTGCATGCTCACGTGACGAGGGAATGTCGTAAAGTGAGCGCTGCGGCGTCGGCGAGGGGATGTCGTACTGTGGCTGGCGGGCAGTGCCCGGATGTTGTAGCCTCTCCGGCAGTGTGCCGTGATGAGGCGAACCCCAGCTGGCAGCGCCGCCCGTGGTGGGAGGAACGTCGTACAGGGCTTCCTTTGGCAAGGCGGCTCCGTCCCTGGAGAGCGGCACGTCGTATAGCTCGGGTTTCGCAGCCCGGCTGGCGTCCGCTTGATCCCAACTGTGTTTGCGGGGAGCCGGCAGGGTGCAATACGGCCCGGCTAACAACCTCTGAGGCTCGCTACCATAAGACACGGGGATGTCGTAGGTGCTCTGTCTATTCGGTCCATCTCTGCATACACTTGGAGGGACATCATACACCTGCAAAACCAAGGACCATAAAATAAAGGAGCAGAATTAGGCCATTCTGCCCATCGACTCTGCCTTCTCCCTGTAATCCTTGATGCCCCTACCAATCAAGAACCAATCTATTTAAAAAAAAAACCTGCTGGACTCCCTGATCATCAGGAACATCCTGCGTGTATCCTGTCGTGTCCTGTTAGAATTTTATAAATTTCTAAGAGACCTCCCTCCCCCCTGCCATTCGTCTGAATTTCTAAATGTAGCCCTGCAACAACTCGGCAGGTCTGGCAGCATGTGTGGAGAGAAAATGTTATTTTTCTACTTACACCAAGAACAATAGTAATCCTTTACTTTTAACTTTTGTACCTCTATGTTACTACTTGTACCTAAGTTTTGTATCTAAGACATGGTACATCTTTCACTGTACTCCTGTACTTGAGCACACGTGACAATAAAGTTTAAACCAAATCAAAATCAAAAATCAAATCAGAGTTAGTTCTGAAGAAGGGTCACCGGACCCGAAACGTTAACTCTGTTTTCTCCTCCACAGATGCTGCCAGACCTGCTAAGCTTTTCCAGCAACTTCGTTTTTGTTCCTGAAATCAGAGTTAACGTTTCAGGACCAGTGACCCTTCTTCGGAACTGAAGAAGTTCTAAGGTTCTGAAAAAATGTTAACTCTGATTTCTTTTCACAGATGCTGCCAGACCTGCTAAGTTTTTTTTTCCAAGAACCTATCCATCTCTGTTTTAAATACATTCAATGACTTGGCCTCCACAGCTCTCTGTGGCAATGAGATCCACAGCTTAACCACCCTCTGGCTGAAGAAATTCCTCCTCATCTCAAATCTAAAGGGTGATCCCTTCACTCTGAGGCATACCTTCTGAAGTAAATCCCACAAGCAAGCTTTTGCAAGTCCAAGTTCAAGATCCCATCCTTCCCAGCTTATGTTAATCTAACATCTTTCAGTTGTTTCAGCAGCGGGAGTCTGGGAGAAAGCGCGAGGGCAGTCTGGGAAGGTAAGCTTCCACCCAATAAATTTGGGAGTTAACTAATACCCGAGACACTACACGGTGCAAATCATGGCAAATGGGTATGATTTAGTGGCCATTACAGAGACATGGTTACAGGATGGTCATGACTGGGAGTTAAATATCCAGGGGTATCAAACTGTTCGGAAGGACAGACAGGAAGGTAAGGGAGGTGGTGTTGCTCTGATTTTTAAGGATGATATCAGGGCGGTAGTGAGAGATGATATAGGTTCTACTGAACAAAACATTGAATCCATTTGGGTGGAAATTAGGAATAGCAGGGAGAAGAAGTCACTGATAGGTGTGGTCTATAGGCCACCAAATAATGACATTGTGGTGGGGCGGGCAATAAACATAGAAATAGCTAATGCATGTAAAAATGGTACAGCAATTATCATGGGGGATTTTAATCTACATTATCAATTGGTCAAACCAGGTCGGTCATGGCAGCCTTGAGGAGGGGTTCATAGAATGCATCCGCGATAATTTCCTTGAACAATATGTAATGGAACCTACGAGGGAGCAAGCTATCCTAGATCTAGTCCTGTGTAATGAGACAGGAATAATTAATGATCTCACAGTTAGGGATCCTCTCGGAAGGAACGATCACAGTGTGATCGAATTTAAAATACAGATGGAGCATGAGAAGGTTAAATCCAGTGCTTAAACAAAGGAGACTATGAAGGAATGAGGAAAGAGTTAGCTAAGGTAGAATGGGAGCAAAAACTTTATGGTGGGTCAATTGAGGAACAGTGGAGGACTTTCAAAATAATTTTTCACAGTGCTCAGCAGAAGTATATTCCAGTGATAAGGAAGAACTGTAGGTAAAGAGAGAGCCAGCCATGGATGTCTAAGGAAATAAAGGAAAGTATCAGATTGGAAAAAAAACACAAACAAAAAAGCAAAGAGTAGTGGGAAACGAGTAGACTGAGAAAGGCCAACAGAAAGCCACAAAAAAAGTTATAAAGAAAAGTAAGATAGATTATGAGAGTAAACTAGCTCAGAATATAAAAACAGGCAGCAAAAGTTTCTATAAGTATGTAAATCGTAAAAGAGTGGCGAAGGTAAACATCGGTCCTTTAGAGGATGAGAAGGCCAATTTAATAACTGGGAATGAGGAAATAGCCGAGACATTAAACAGTTATTTCGTGTCAGTCTTCACAGTAGAAGACACAAATAACATGCTGAAAACTAATGGCAAGAAGATTATAGCAGGCGAGGACCTAGAAACTATCATATCACTAAGGAGGCTGTGCTGGGCAAGCTAATGGGGCTAAAGGTAGACAAGTCTCCTGGCCCTGATGAAATGCATCCCAGGGTACTAAAAGAGGTGATGGGGGTAATAGCAAATGCACTAGTAATTATTTACCAAAATTCACTGGACTCTGGGGTGGTTCCCGCAGATTGGAAAACAGCCAATGTGACACCACTGTTTAAAAAAGGAAGTAGACAAAAAGCAGGTAACTATAGGCCAGTTAGCTTAACTTCAGTAGTGGGGAAAATGCTTGAATCTATCATTAAGGAAGAAATAGCAAGACATCTGGATATAAATTGTCCCATTGGGAACACCCAGCATGGGTTCATGAAGGGTAGGTCATGTTTAACTAACTTGGTGGAATTCTTTGAGGACGTTACTTGCATGGTGGACAATGGGAAACCTGTGGATGTGGTGTATCTGGATTTCCAGAAGGCATTTGACAAGGTGCCACACCAAAGGCTGCTACATAAGATAAAGTTGCACGGTATTACAGGTAATGTATTGGCATGGATAGAGGATTGGTTGACCAGTAGAAAGCAAAGAGTAGGGGTAAATGGGTGTTTTTCTGGTTGGCGGTCAGTGGCTAGTGGTGTGCCTCAGGGATCAGTGTTGGGACCTAAATTGTTTACAATTCACATAGATGATTTGGAGTTGGGGACTAAGTGTTGTGTCAAAATTTGCAGGTGACACTAAGGTGAGTGTTAGAGCAAAGTGTGCAGAAGACATTGAAGGTCTGCAGAGGGATATAGATAGTCTAAGTGAGTTGGCAAAGGTCTGGCAGATGGAGTACAATGTTGATAAGTGTGAGGTCATCCATTTTGGTAGAAATAACAGCAAAATGGACTATGTTTTAAATGGTAAAAAATTGCAGCACGCTGCTGTGCAGAGGGACTTGGGTGTCCTTGTGCATGAATTGCTGAAGGTGGGATTGCGGGTGCAGCAGGTAATTAAAAAGGCAAATGGAATTTTGTCTGCCATTGCTCGAGGGATGGAGTTTAAAAACAGGGAGGCTATGCTGCAGCTGTATAGGGTCCTGGTGAGGCCACACCTGGAGTACTGTGTGCAGTTTTGGTCTCCTTACTTGAGAAGAGATATACTAGCACTGGAGGGGGTGCAGAGGAGATTCACTCGGTTGATTCCAGAGTTGAGAGGGTTGGATTATGAGGAGAGACTGAGTAGACTGGGATTATACTCATTGGAATTCAGAAAAATGAGGGGAGATCTTATAGAAACATATAAGATTATGAAGGGAATAGATAAAGTGGAGGCAGGGAGGTTGTTTCCGCTAGCAGATGAAACTAGGACTAGAGGGCATCGCCTCAAAATAAAGGGAAGCAGATGTAGGACTGAGGAACTTCTTCACCCAAAGGGTTGCGAATCTGTGGAATTCCTTGCCCAGTGAAGCGGTTGAAGCTACCTCGCTGTTTTTAAGGCAACGGTAGATAAATTTTTGAACAGTAAAGGAATTAAGGGTTATGGTGAATGGGCGGGTAAGTGGAGCTGAGTCTCAAAAAGATCAGCCATGATCTTATTAAATGGCGGGGCAGGCTTGAGGGGCCAGATAGCCTACTCCTGCTCCTAGTTCTTATGTTCTAACCATCCCTCCTTGGCATTGCAGTTGGGAAACCAGAGCACCAAGGATTCCTCATTTCCAGTCAATCTCAGACAACTCCTGCATTCTGAACTCATCATTTGGGGAGGCAAATGGGAAAGTGGGATTGACACCCTCAAGCAGACCCACCACTATATTATTGAACAGCAGGTCAGGCCAACTGGCCGAATCCTGTTCCTAGTTCGTGCCAAATTACAGTAAATCTAATTTGGATATTCCTCATAATGTCTATGTCCCACGTGAGATGTTCAGAGCATCTCCACCTCCCCTCTCTAGCAAGAACAAAAACCGCTATCAACCTGAAAACGTTGACTGTCTTTCTCCTCCGATGCTTACAGATCTGCTGAACATCTCGAGCACTTGCTGTCTCTTTATCAGGTTTACAGCTTCCACAATACAAGGGATCTCCCATAACGTGTGTTCCAGAAACACAAATTGGCTATAACACGATTGACAAATAGGGGAACGCTATTTCTAAAATGCTAACTTGTGTTGGCTATAACGTGATTCCATCGAGTATGAATTGTATGTCATATTTTGAATACAATGTTACTCGGATTTACAATGCATTTTAATCCTACAATTAACTTCAATGCCAATGGGCTACGTCGGAAAGAAAGGTCAGATTCCTCTGCTTCACTTATCTGAAAATCTATCCAGAAGTCTGTGCCGACGGAATTTCAGGTCAGATCAGCATTTAAATGGTGGAGGAAGTTTTACTAAAACTTGCCGAAGTGTCAATTTTGGGGGAGTTTTATGGAGGGTTGCTGGGATTTCCAATGGCAGCACTCTATTTAAAGCCCAGCTGTCACTTCATTGCAAGTACAAAGTCGGATTCATAAATGTATTGCCCCTTTACAGCATCACTGGTCTGATAAACTGGCATTATAACTTCAGCTATAAGAATGAAGCTACACAGGTGAGGAAGAATTTTGGAAAATATAATTGTTATGTGTCCTTTGTGCCCTTAATCCCACTTTTCCAATCTATAGTGCGATTTTCTATAACGTGATGTTATGCTGGAACACAACTATTGTGTTATAGCAGAAACCCCACCCCTGTATATTATTATTTTCTACTAAGTGAGTAATTGCTTGGGGTTATTGACAACATAGAAAC